ATAATCTATATCCTCAGATGTTTTTCTCGTTCTCAAGTAGATGTCACAAGTGTTTCATAGTTCTATCATCGAACTAAGCAGATTTATAGAATTTCATTAATTATGCAAATTAGCTCCTGAATTGCATAATTGCCATCTGATTATGTCAAGCATCACTTCAACTACCTACATACCAAAAATCACGACAATACGTCAACCGGTTCTTGAATTATCATCCTTCAATTTTTTTTCAACAAATTCTCCTGCAGTTCCAGAACAAGGCGCTAGGGAACCCAAACTCATGTCACTTCTTTCCTACCCCAAGAGCTATCTACCAATCAAAATTCGTGACCCTAGCATTTCCAGAACATGAGATATCAAAACCGAAAGTTCAGCTGCAGTACCTAGGAAAGCCGCCAGGGGGCCCAAAATCTAATCATTTCTAGGTCTCATGAAGACCTACCCACCTACCAAGTTTTATTCCAATTCATCCACTGCTTCTCGAGTTATCTTGCTAAACCACACACAAACACACACACAAACGCTACTGAAAACATAACCTTCCTGGCGAAGGTAACAAGTCGACATCTGCTTGTAGATTAGGAACGTCCAGCCCGGCGGAATCCACCTCCATCTTTGTTCACTTCTCATGTAGGCTGAAAATGTGACAATTAATCATCTGGGATTAGGTAAACTAGATTAACCTCTTCCAAACACCTCAAACACACTTAAGACAAATGCAGCTGGAAATTTGACAATTCATCATCCGGGATTAGGTAAATTTGATTAACCGTTCCCAAACACCTTTCCCGCCATTTCGTGACTGACAGTACCCGGATGACAGATGGGTACGGCACGGGCCAGTTCCCTGGCGCCAGTCTCTGCGGTAACCAGGGGCAACCGCACGTATCAGGTTTCACACCTGTATGCTCCATCACCTCAGATCCACATGCAAGAGACAAATCAGGACATCGTTAGGAGCTTCGGTGATCATTGTTGGTGCATATATAGTGACTGTGTCTCTTAAATATCTACATCACCTAAAATACGCCAAGAACAGTTACTCAAGCAACTGGATCTGACTTTGGAAACGGTCATACGTTGTCTAACATAGATGTCTAACCTTCTCCGACGTACACCTAAAATACTATGTGGCAAATACACTTTCCGGTCCTCTATCAATCGATCATGAATTGTATTGTTCCTGCATCGTTTCATAAAATTAGTTTGGTGATTGTATCTGGCCTAGTTCACAGAATATAATTGTCCGCTACTAAAGATCAGTCGACCGGTTCACACGGGTAAACAAGAGTAAAAACAGCCTGTGGTGTGTGTGATGGAGGCAGCCCTATGAAATCCATAGGGATAGTTATTACAACGCCTAAAACGATGCTTCAATATCTAACATGTCATGAGTCAATTGGGAATCTCAGTTTGCTATTGACCGATTTTCTAAGTTTCGATCTTTTGTTCGCCTGCATTGAACATTCCTATACCTATTATATCATACATGCCATGATGTTTTATTTAAACTGCTGAAATCAATGCACCATACACAGGGATATAGGTCAATGTAAATCGTGCTCGCGAATGTCAATTCTGCAATGTCTGCAATACTCAGGGACTATTACACATCAATGAAGTATCTGTCGTACTTAAATCAATAAAGACTAAAAAAGGAAAATATGAATACGTGATGTTTATCAGCAACTCAGTTGCTGCTATCCTGAAAGGCGTGTAAAATAAGAATATTTCATTGCGGAGCTGAATGTAGTCATTCTATGGACGCAACTGCGTCTGTTCATGCGTTACAAAAATTGTGCATTGAAGATTAGAAATAGTTTTATTTGGCCAATGTCTATAACATCGAAACATCAAGAGTATAGTCTGCAGATAAACATCAAAGCTGTCAGAACCGTTCCTTGCAAAATTTCTCGTGTGCTGACTGCAGCGTGTTTGTAGTTGATGCATTTTTATACGTAGGTCAGATAAAGCACTGAAATGGGAAAGGGCCGGTCGAACAATGTTATACGACTGGGCACACCGTTGCAAAATTTCAACCTTATTCTGACATTGCCTGACAATAAATGAAGAATATTACAGCTGCGATGTTATTCATTATGAGGCTAATTAAACTAGTTCCAAACGTCGCCCACATCGCTACAGACTTGATGACGACAGTTCTTCCCAATTCACGTACTCACGGCGCCTCATTATTTCACCGACCTTCTGTCAAATCGAGAAGACAAGGACATCTATTTCACCGGGGTGGTCGCCGGCAGGGTGTTTGGGTGACCTGGTTAAGGCCTGGAATAATGTCCTGGCAAATTACCATATTGTGTTCTTCAAAGCATGGTGAGCAGTGAACACAGTGTAGGACTGTCGTTTAATATATTGCTGTTAGTATGTAAGTTAGTAATTTGATATTTGTTCCCATAGCTTTCTAAATTCACATACGTATGACTGATGTTGGGTTACGATGTTGTATCTCTGAATGTGTGATCAAATAAACCATTTAGTCTTTTAAACCCCAGACCCTTTATGTTATAACGTCGTGACAACTCCCAAAGCCTTTCATATGCTTGTCCCGCCTCTGTAACTTTTCCCTGTATCAAAGAACGGCCTCTGTCCTCAGTGGACCTCCAGCAGCTCGTCCCCACTAATAATATCTGGCACATAAAGGATGGTCCTCATCGAACCACTAGGTAATGTAGTTGTCGTTTGGAACAAGCAGTGGAGGGAGGTCTTTACGTGATCTTCAACAAGAGAACAAGAGCGCAATACAGTAGGTCGTAGGTCTAATCCATTTACAGAAATATTATCAAGCATGTTCGGTTCTCCGGGATGTCCTACAGGAGTAACAGACCAATCAGATGGAATCACGGATTGGTTCCGTGCATCATTACGATGTACCAGACGTACCGTACATCACACGCCATGTCCCCGGTACAGGCAGATAAGGTCAGACGTACAGTTCAGTCTCTAGCTATCGGAGCGTGGGTAATGGCTAACGGAAATGACTGAGAATCGAATCAACCTTTTTTTCTTTCAAAATGACATTGAATTTCGTCTCAAGCATACGTTTGAATGACAAGTTCATAATGTACAACTGAACAGCATGAAATAGGTAATAGTGAGGCCTGTTACGGACGGTGATATCACCACGTACAAGCAAGACTTGAGCGTATGTACGTACTTGAGGCCTAGGCGGCTGCTCTATTATTTTTGTCGTAGTCTATTGCAATGGACTTTAATTTACAGTTAGGCTTGACACACGCAGAAACACTAAAAAAATCCATGTCTTAATAGAAAATTGAGAGATTCCTGTGGAGATTCCTTTACATTTTCAATCGCTGACAGAACCAGTTTACAGGGCTATAATGCTCCCTCACGGTGTTTCACAATCAAACTTCCTATCGAGTGCAGCAGTGAAGAACGTGTTACAGTACTGCGGGAATTCGAACCTTGATGATGACATCCCATCTTGGTGAGAATATCATCGAGCTGTGGCCTGGCGCGTCGTTTCCCGGGCGTTAGGTCCATCAAACTGGTTAGAGCACGGGACCGGGATGATCATGGCGGAGCCAAATGTCGTGGTTGTGCTCTTTATGTGCCTAGTTGTAAAGGACTCCCGGTGTCATTGACATTTACCATGTACATGTATAAAAGAGCCCGCCAACGCGACAAATGGTGATGCCAGCGGAGGCAGATCTCCAACAGACTGTGTGGCCTTTCTATATCATTTTCTAGCTGCATTTCCAGTAGCCAGGCCCCTAGAAGCTTGGGGGCCAACACCTCTAAGTCAGTAGAACTGGGGTATCTTATTTAATCCTGTTGACTTATGCATACTTGCTAAATGGGTCAATTAATTATTGTCAGACTTACAACTGTCTATTGTCATAGCGTTGGAGGCTGGTTTCCATAGTAACAAAGAATCCTGAGCTCCTACTAGTAGCTCTGGGAATGGGACTGGCTCTCTCAAGTTACAAGTTTATATGGCCACAAGTTCACATAAGGAGGCACAGCCAGCCCCTGACAGCGGGAGATAACATAGTGTATAACATAGGCTGGACAATAATAATACCAAACTACGTTTGCGTAGTTTCCAAGGGACTGTGCCTCCGTATCAGGCACAGATCAATCACAACTGAAAGAACACATCCTCCACAACAGATAAATCTTGAACACAAGGCGAGTGTCAGAAACAATGTGAATATGCTGGGACAATTCGTAGTGAAGACTGATACTTTTACAAGCTGACACACTAGCGATAATTTCTGGTGGATCTATGTACAGTCCGATAATTTGACACATGTTCCCATCGGTGGTTCTTCACGTCGAGAAGATGCATATCTTGTCAGCAGGAACATCGGGTGCTCATGTATTTCATGTAAAATGTGTCGCTTATGGGCCATGTTTGTCTTAATTCACGACCTTCACATTTGATCTTAACAGCTCCCAGTTTTGTATGAGTCTTGAAGGCGTACGTCCCATATGTATATCAGAAAGCACCTTCTTTGAATTGCAGGTCGCTCGACTGGAGTGGAGTTTTGACCATAGAAAATAGCTAGCTGCTATGTGTTTCACGTTCATTTCAATGAAGAAATGTCTTACTGCGTTATCAGGTATTACTTAGGTTATGGACAGCAATGGAGTTAAGAAGTACGTATATACTTTCCTAGAAATGACACCATGCAAAGGACAGTTGAACGTTGATTGGCAAGTTTTGCTAGGGCTTGCGTTGTCTGTAATGTCGGAAAATAATCTTAAAACTACGATAGGCAAAATGGCCATTGCTTTGTGCTTTGAGGCGACTGAAAACGTTACCGTTTGTAATGTCAAGGTTTTACAGGCCGGTCAAGCAGTTAGACACGTACTTTATTCAGAAGGCCACCGTTCTCCCTTGGTGTATGTGAAGATGAAATAGACGATATCAGCTGGGAATAAAAGCGTGGAAAGCACTTTCGTACTCCTTGTCCTTTGAGGAGCCACTCTGCGATAAGCCACCGGCGACGGGCACAATGAATAAGGATGATGCTATCGCGCAATGGGTATCGATCGTCACGAACGCCGACAAGAGCCATCAGGTACACCTCCCCCATCTGCGAATGGTATCTGCGAGACATCTGCCGAAAATCGCCCGATTCTAGGACGAGCCGACTGACTTGTGGGGGACTCAGGGTGTACGGAGAATTGATCACCCGTGCCGGACGCGCTGGTGGTCCGATAGCACATACGCAAACACTCCGGTCTCGTGCAGGATCTGGGCGGGAGCTTCCCAGACCTCCGGCGCTTCCGTTTACAAGCTGGGACCACTTAGTCGGCTGCTGTGGAGGGTTTCACGCGGGAATTTCTGGAGGACTGGAACAACCGTCAGGAGAAATATGCCCGCTGCTACGGATTCTGTTGTCTGGGCCGTTTTCTTGGTACTGGCGCTGTCTGTGGTGCTGAAAGGTAGGGTGTTCTGTTTACAGGCGGAAGTCGCCGCTTGCAGGCGCAAACGCTTTTATAGTCAAGTTACTCAAGTATCTAGCATGTCCAGACAAACTGTAAAGCAATGATTCATTTGAAAAACTGTAAAAACGCGGCCGGGCAACCATATCATAGTTTCTCTTCCGCCACATTTCCAGTATTCTCTTGTGGATATAAACGGAGTCATTGTGCTTCATACACGTTGAATATTCGTAACTTGGCAGCCCTAAACGTAATATCCAGCTATATTAAGAAAATATGAACCAAATTTCATGCTACTATTACAGGGAGCTTTGTGGGGTTTACACTGTGTTTATCTCACATATGGGCGCCATGCCTACAACCGAAAGGAGAAACCTCGTGGTACAAATGACTAGTGGCTTAGTTAATCCGACCAAAGACCCTGACCAAACGTCCCTGTTCCCCGCACCCGTCTGGCAATTCGTTTTGCATATGGCTAATAAATAGAATGATATCAAACGATCGATATGAAGAAATAAGATACTTGGGAGTGGGGCGCGGCGTTCCGCTCTCTGAACTATGCTCCTGGCGATGTTAATTCAATCAGCTGATTTATGTACCACTGGTGGTTGATATTTTGTACCCAAAGTATTGATTGCTTTCTACGTGCATGTTTAACCTAGGGTAGTGGTTTTAAACTAGTAAAACTGCCCACTGCACTAACGTCGGTTGAAAGCGCATTTGTCTTTATTTCCGAAATGTTTTGCACTTATCCGGGTACCCGCGTGGCTGGAAACGTAGAAAACGATAAATGTTTGATGGAGTCCGGCATGCAGATACAATCTGACCTACAAATGAAGGTGAACATGTGGCGTCAGGGTCGCTTCTATTCTTGGAAAATCCTCCCGGGTCTATTTATCGCAAAGCGGTTTGATGAAGAACTTTGCCCTTCTATAAATAATTCTACAGTTCATTTGCCTTTCTTAATCGTAACATCAACATCCACACATACTCAAATGCTAAGTGACAATCCTCGAGATCACTAACTTGGAATTGCGCTGACTGCAACTTACGCTTTGGTATGACTAACGTATACGTATAACATATATAACGTATATAACGTTACAGGTATAGAGCCAATCAGTAGTCTGCCGCCATGCCAGTGTGCATGCCGTTCCAATGCACCGTTTGGTCGTGTCATCTTTTGAATATGTTTTCTTAAAGATAAGCTCTCGAAGAATGCTACATGTCAAAGGCCCAAATTACACAGCTGTGATTAACTGAAAAAACAATTCATATAAAAGGAAGGTAGCAGTTTGGTTTATGTAAGACAGTTATGACAATCAATAAACAAAGACACAGTGGATGTAAACAGCAGCAAAGCACATTCCAAGTCAAACTGTTCTCCTGCGAAGGTAGCAATAGATCACAATCAGTCACTCCCGTTTAAGCTAACATCAGTACATTATTCCATTAAGATGTTCCCTAATTTACATCACAGCGCTTTATCTGATGTTCGTAATCCGGGTTAATCCACAAAGACCCTGAGGTACGTTCCCGAGCTCCATCTGTCTCGCGGGGAAGGTTGTATTACGCTTATTAGGACTTACCTCCGGCCACCTGCAAGGCCGATGAAGACGTATGCGACCCAGTCAAGGAGTAAATGACGATCTGTGCCCTTGGAAATTAGGAGCGGGCACAACGACGATTGCTGAGGCTTTGTTTTATAACAGAGCAATTCCTTTCCAGCTACTTCAAACAGGTGAGCTGTCCTGAACTAATGCCGGGGACACCAATTCCCCCTGCCGCGTGCCCTTGATGTCGAAGTTCCTTCCCCATGTGAACTTGCCATATGCTCAAAGCACACGTCATTGTACATAGGAACGGGCTGCATTGGAGCAAGGCCACTGGCTCAAATGGTCTACAGCCGTAGATGTGCATTTTGTCAGCACAGTGAAGAAAGCACACACACGTACCGCCCCTCCCACAAGGTCAACATGACGTTGCATGACTATATCATACAAATCACATTAGTAGGATAAATACCCGTATTTCGACTATGATGCTGATACGGTAAAAAAAACAAGTATGATATTTGGCGATACTAATCGCAAGCTAGAAACGGTTTCTTTCTCAGTTTCTGACATTATGAAATAATCAAGAAGATGTGAATTTTTGTGCAAGCCCAGAAACCCGTTTACACAGACTTTCTGTCGGATTCTTTTCAAACCTTAGCAGTCATTATACAGCTGCATTGTTAAAGACTTTCCAGGCGAAAAGAGAACTTTACCGCAATACGTATCGTTACAGGAATCTGTTCAGCAATGTCAGTACAGACAGTTGGTACATCTCACAACCATGGCTCTGAGAATAACATCCCACAAAACGTTCTCACAGGAATTTTCCACAGCATGTTGATGATCTATAGACGTTCGTTGTGCGCTTTGTTAACCCAGAATTACTTATAATGGCGGTTCCTATCCGTTCAGTGCAAAATAAATCCCCCGGAACGCTTATTTTGGGAAAACAATTTTACTTGAAACGAGTGCAGGGTCCACATGGATTGATCCATCTGAATTAAATCAATCCCTTGGTCCTTTTCGCTTGAAAAATGGCGCTTTGCGTGGGGGCCGCATTACTGAAATGAGTTTCGCTGCGGCGTAGCTTGATGTTTTCAGAATGTAATAAGGAGGTTAATGGTAAAAATGGCATCTGTATTGTGGCAACGTGGTTAATAGCTAGGCTGCTGCGTGAAGTATGTACACCCCGTTTCACACATGATGGGTCGTCAGTTCCGCTGGGTAGGCAGATTTAGCCACACTCCACTGACTGGTGGATGGTGGATGAAGAAATACTTTTTAGACCTTCGTAGAGGCTGCAGATGAGCAGAAATAGAAAACTCCCAACGAAATCACACAAGATGATTAAAGTAGATGATCAGGATACGTCTACAACTCTCTTGAGGAAAGCCGCGGAATCCAACCAACAGGACGATCAGCTACAATCGCGCAGGGCTGGAATGGAATTGTTCTGAGCTGTGCGGCAGCAGATCCAATTAAAGATCTTAATTCGACATGGAGTCTGAAGACCCACAATTTGACGTAGTCGCCACAACCGCCTACATACTCAATATCGTTGTACATCATTCCAAAAGCGAGACCAAATCATCCATACATGAAGATAACGATACTATTATCGATAATACTTTGTATTCATAAATGTAGGATTGATTAGACAAGTTGCACTGTTGTTTTTAAAACAGTTGTAACCACGTACTCTGTACATTGTGGAGAAATAAAGTTCACTCACTTATTCCTCCACTTTTCCCGGTTGAACAATGTTGGTGACCAACAAGGAGGTAACTTTCTGCGAGAAATTAGGCCAGCGGAATGCGGATCACGACGTATCGATTCCATGAGCACATCTAAATTGGTAAAATAAATCCCATGGCCATATGGGGAGCATTCGTCGGGGTGTGCCCTACAGTGTGGCCAGTTAAAACTTTTCTGCGTTATATTAATATCTCATATCATACATAGATCCTCCGTCCCAGCTGTGTATTTAGAACATCCTTTCGGGCTGAACTGACCATCCCCAGGGTCAGTATCTTATGTGATTATGATTGCGAACTATATCATATGCTTATTAAGTATAAGTATGCGGGTTAATCGTCGAAGTTCTCATTTTATTGCCAAGAGATTGTAAATAACGGGCTGTCCATACGTACACATGCCTGTGGACTACGTGACTTTTGGCCGCCACCACGCCGCGCAATGATCATGACCATAGCATGGGACGGCCGATGAAGATGTGCACATCCCAGTATCGACATAATCCCGGCTCGGGTCCCATGTGCAGCCGCAGTAATTGGAATCAGGCAAAGACCTTCCCATCCCATTGGGAGCTAAAGTGAATGAAATGGACCGGAAAAGTTAATTTCACGGATATGGTGACGAGAACGGTGTGTGTGTCTGTTTGCCCTCTGACGACCCCAAGGCAGGGGTTAATTATGCTGCCAACTCATAGAAACATCAGAAACTTTATACATGTATATTACTCCATATGCAAACACAGCTGGACATTCCCATTATTGATGAGGGAGCGTTGGCACTGACGGAATATAAACTCGACCTTGAATTCTATTACGTACTCTACTACAAAGAGCCAAGTAATTTAGGCATTTTTGGCTAATCTTGGCTCTGAGCCAGTGATAAGAGGTTTATTAAGAATCAGTAAACGTTCCTCCATTCATAGAGCAAAATTACGGCTATTCCATAACAACGTCGAGCCTAGTATCCAACGAGGTAAAGTTAAGTGACTCAAAGGGAACATATACTGACACTCTTCTCTGTTAACAATTAAAAAACCAAGCCATACCAGGAGAACGAACACCTCAAGATGCTCGGTGATGCTGAGCCTGGCCTGGCCCGCGTGTCACGTTTTACAGAACAAAGTATTCCTGTTGCGGTTATTGGTATAAAACAATTAGCCTGAAAATGATTAATCATTACATTGCTTCCACTATAATGATACTTTATCTATCGGACTCTGGAGGATTGATGCAGAAGAAAACGTAATGCCAAATCTTAACCCTGGCCTGAAGGGTAACACCTAGGACTGTGCAGCTCTTAGTGGGTCTTACCACACACAGCTGCCGTCCTGAGTGCTGTCCAATAAAGACATGTACGAGACTGTCAGCCCCCGGAGGGTCCGTCGTTACCGTCCCGTCATTAACCTTGCCTGACCTGTGCACATCACGCACCATATGGTCCTGCTCCCGACCAACGGAAGGTCCGGTCCGACCAAAAATCACTCCAGGGACGGGACTTCAGGGACCTTCTTTTAATTACGTTGACTGGATTGTTGGACATTTGACCTACATTTAACTCTTCCACAGAACCTCCTTTACAGTTAGGTGCATGAAAATAAAATACACAGCCTTTATGAAAAGCAGATCTACAGAGATATACATAATTCAGACAATAAGCGATTGAACATGATTTAAGAGTGAATTTATCAAT